AGAGAGGAGAGAGGAGAGAGAGAGAGAGGGAATGAGATCCAGAGCCTAGAGACGGAAATAGAGCAGAGAGAGATATATTATACCTGATGTTGAAGCACAATGGTTCTCTGGATATGATGCAGCTGAGTGAGATTGAGAGAGATGGATCCGGTGCAACACCGAGGCACTGCTGCTCCATGGGAAGGGGAGAGATGAGGTATTTCGTGGGAAGAGGGGAAACAGAGTATTTCGAGGAGAGAGCTTGTAGCCATAAAGAGTACGGGATAGAGAGCACGCACCCTCAGGTTTTTCAGGCATTAAATGCCTCAAATTTGAAACTTTGGAACTCCTTCCCAACCGTCCATTCAAACTGCAATCCATCACCGCCGTTGGCGTACTAAATCCCCATACGCGAGCGGGCATTTCAAATCCTTTCCAATATATATATATATATATATAGAGGGAGGTATTGATTTAAATTTTATGAACATATTTGGCCCAGCGCATTGGATTTTACAGTGAAAGGCACATCAAAATATTTATGATGGCGTTGCACTCTTTATTTGGTGTGGCAGGTTATCTTGGAATTAGTGTTAAAAATTTGAAAGGGGTCCATCTCGCCGGTGTGCGTGCCTTTAGTTCTTTTTGGTCCAACTAGGGTGAATTTGAATCAAATTGAGGAATATTTCAATAAAAATTTATAAAGTTATCTATAAGAGATCGTTTATATTCGGGAAAAGTTTATATAGAGCCCACGCTCAAAACAATCAAATTGGAGCTCACCTCAAAAGTTTTATTATAAGAAGTTGTTTTGATGCCCTAATAGTTGATCGTCTCGACGTCAAGATGCATGGACATGAGAAAAAAATGGATTTCAAGTTTTAGAAATAGAGCATCTTGTAACGTATTTTTAAACGGTCAATTTTCAAGTTTTTTAAATTTTTATAAATTTGCTCGATCTAGACTATTTTTTAAGCTTTAAATTTTATAGTTAAATATGAAAATATATTTTTAGGCAATCATAAAGATTTTCAGTATTGAAACCACGTTTCTCGATACTATTTAAAGGCAGGTTTTAATTTGATTCTTAAGAGCCTCGGCTCTCTACAAACTGCACCCATTATCTTTTGTAAATAGATGTCACAATCATTCTCACTCATTAAATCTTAATTTAGATGGCTTGGGATGAGTGACAAAGTTCAAAACTATTTCTTTTTAAAATTTTGTGATTATTTCTTTTTGGAACTATGTCTCTACTCAATAACACTCTTACAACCAAATATTTTAAAATTTAAAGAACAATAATGATTATAACCCCCACAAACAAAAGATAAATGACCTCTTTATAAACAAACTCATAAAAAAATAAGAGGCTCAAGCATTGTTGGTAAAATCGCCCGATCTAACCGCTAACCGCCAGGTTAGATCGGAACCGGCCAGTTTCGATTTTGGACGGTTAGGGTGATCAATCAGTATTTAAAAAAAAAATCAAAAAAATGTACATAAATTCTAAAAAATAAGAAATTGATTTGTAATGCATTTTTAAATATTCTTTACATTATCGTAAATATTAAAAAGTTGTTTTGGTCATTAATACTTACTTTTATATTTTTTATATTTTTAGAAAATTTTAAAAATTGCCATTGGAAAATATAAAATGAGTTAAAATCCATTTTTTTCATTAAATTTTAATTTCATTTGAATTTGTTTTGTTTTAATCATTCTTTATATGTTTTTCATAGTTTAGTAGATTTTTTTTTGTATTTTTTTTTAACACTTTTTTTACCGCACCGGACTTGCCTTGTTAGAGAAATTGAATTGGCTGGTTTACTGGTTAGACCGGTTACAAAGGCCCCATGTCTGGTTAACCGTTCCGATTCAATTTTACGAACATTGAGCTCAAGCAATTATGAGGTTTTGTTTTTTGGGCTGGAATAGTCAGGCTTCCAATATGGTTGGATCAAAACTAATAGAGGAAATCAAGAGTCTAAAAGTTTCAAGTTTGTTCAAACCTAATTTGACGATTATCCATGTTTCTCTCTCTTTTTTTTCACCAATTTTTATTAAATATGTCCAAAATGTTTCTTTGACACTGATATAGCCCTGACAAAATTTATGAATCAAAATAAAAAAATCTGTAATTTGTTAAATTTCTCTAAAAAAACAAGATTTTGATCTTTTTCAACTGCTCTATAAAATCGTAATAATTTATTAGGACCTACACTCCAATTAGATGAAATCAAAAGATGAAAATTTTGGTTTTCTTCTTTTTAAGCTCTATTTTTTTATCTAATTTAAATCGTTATTCCTTTGAATTAAAACTATTTGTTATGTTATTTTTTCATCTGGAGCTAATTTTTTTATTTTTTAGTGTTTTTCTTTTTTTGGACAAGTTTTCATCATGCAAAATTTCCATTTTATTTTTTTATTATTTATGTTTTCTTCTAAATACTATTATTACTTGCTGATCCGACTCCCCCACTCGACCGATCCAAGTTGCAAGCAGCTTGACCCACTGGTCCAATGTTTTAAACATTGCATACAAGTATTTTCTCTATCTAAAAATTATAGGATCCATTTTAGTAATCACTAGATGAGCATTAAAAAATAGATTTTGAGTTTTTTAAAAGTTAGATTTAGCTATTAAAAATAGGGAGCAGTATGTATATGTATAGAGCTGAGGCTCTAAACAATCAAAAGAAAAGCACACCATCAAATAGTGTTGAGAAATATGGTTTCAATACTGAAAATTTTTGTAATAGCCTTAAAATATATTTTTATCTTTAATTATTAAATTTAATGCTTAAAAAATAGTGTAGATCGAGTAGATCTATGAAAACTTGAAAATCTTAAAAATTGACAGTCAAAAAATGTGTTACAAGATGCACTATTTTCAAAATTTGAAATCCATTTTCATGCATCTTGATGTGGAGATGATCAATTTAAGGATATTTGAGCATCAAAACAACTTCTTCTAGTGAAATTTTTGAGGTGGGCTCTACTTTCATTGTTTAGAGCCCCAGCTCTATATAAACTTTTTCCTTAAACAAATTCTACAGTCTATATTGAATATTCTTCCTCCTTTTTTGCTTCTTTTTTTTTTATTTAAGTTTGTCTTGAGGTTGATGAGATGACCTTCCCCAAATTTGGATCCCTAAATATTCTTAGGCAAACCAGCAATTCAAATTTGTCAGGCTACCTAGATTGGCCCATACCAGGGATTGGGTTTGCAGATTTTGGGCCAAAAAAATCATGAAATCTCCTAATTTTTTTTTCGTAATTATGCACATTTTACTCGGTCCAACTCGAACTCGCTTAGACTTGAGCTCAGACCTGAGTCCAGATTTCGAAAATCGGGACAAACATCATATTTTTAATCTTAATATTTAAAAATACTTATTCAAAAGCATTATTTTTGGAATCATATTTCTTGAAAATTCCTTTTCTCATGTGGATATGGTGTCAATCATGTCCCACACGCACACATATGTTTGACATTACTCCCTTCTATTTTACTTTCATTGAAATCATCTTCCTCTCTAGAGTAGTGATGTCTAGCTAGCACACAAAAAAGTGGCTCGACTTTTAAAGAAAAGTGCGAGACAACCATTTCCACCGAAAGAGCATGCCCTTTTACTATTATTTTTCAAAATTCAAACATTTTACATCCAAATTTTGAACTTCACACACATTTTGGACCCAAAATTTTTACTTTGGAATGTTGCTTTATAAATTGTAGTGTGAACGAATTCTATTCATATACGAGAAACAAAAAGGTCAAATCCCATCTCCAAAAGTCCTCTTTCTATAAGCAAATTCAAAATTAAAGCACCCTCTTTTTTTTTTTTGATACAAATCCAAATTGAATCTGTCCCCTCTTTTTAGAAAGAAATTCAGGTTGAATCTTAGTAAAAGCACCACAACCCACACCACCACCTGCATTTTCACCCCAAGAGCCATGTCCACCCTCCCTCTCTCACTAATCTTCACTATACTCTTCACAACACTGTCCCTCACTCCACCCTCTAGAGCTTCATGCCTTGATTCATGTGGCCAAATTCCCATAAAATTCCCCTTGGGCTCCTCCCTAGGGTGTGGCCACCCCTCTTTCTCACCATACATCCAATGCCTAAACAAACAGCTCCTTCTCCAGACCCCCACCGGCGAATATCCGATCGTCTGGTTAAATTACCAAAATGCCACTCTCCTTGTATCCGACCCTCAGATGTCGACGTGTGCCACCATGCAGAATTCTGGGAGCTTTGGTCTCGGCCCCTCGATGCCCTTCATGCTAGACCCGAATGACCGGTTTGCCCTTCTTGGCTGCTCCTCCTCCTCTCCAGTATTCGACATGGACGCCCCCCTCTGTGACACTGAGGGGTCACACATGTGCAATGCACTATACAAGTGTGAGGGCATTTCAGGAATTGGATTGGAGCCCGATGAGGTCTCGACGTGTTGTGTTTATGAGCCCATCGGTCTTGGGCCCTCTAGGCAACTGAACTTACCTGGGCTTCAGTGTTCTTCTTATACAAGTGTTTATAGCTATGGAGGTGATGAAGAAGATGCAAGGAAATGGAGGTATGGGATCTCTTTGAAGTATAGTGTTGGTCAAAATGACACCTACGATTCGAGTGCTTGCGAGGAGTGCGAGAGGAGCGATGGTGCATGTGGTTTCGGTGGCCCGACTCAGTCGTTTCTTTGTGTGTGTCGGAACGGCATCAACACGACTCTGAATTGCTATGGTCAAGGTAGGCAACATTCTCCGTAAGAGCGCATGCACACACATACACATACAAAGATCTACACACATACACACACTAAGATCCATAATCCTTATTTTTCTTCTTTCAAATTATTTTGAATATTAACTGATATTTGACAGATTTTTTTATTTTATTTTATGGATGGTCGGGTAGGGATAATGAGATGGGAGGAGTAAAAAATTGATTACTGTTAAAAAACAATCCATCCATTTATTAAGTAGTATTAGATTGGGATCCATAATGGATAAGGTGGAACGCAGCACTACTGGATCATTATCCTTTTTGAGTTTTGTATAAACTTATTTTCTTTTTTTATTTTTATGTTGGATTTTTATTATTATTATTATTATTATTATTATTTAAAGATTTGCTCTTTGGTTGTCTTTGAAGGATATTTTATTGATGTATTCTAAATTGGCACAGGTTATGCATGGAGTGGGACACCTGCCTGTTGGACCGGGAATTGGAACCATATACTCAGTACATGTCTTGTGCTCTTCTATATTATTTAAGCAAAATGTAACTAGTACTTCAAAAATCAGAATCAAGTACCAAATTGGTAGGATTTCCTACTGTCCAATTTGGGCGATTTCATGTCAAATCAGATTATATTTAATAAATATTTTAAACATAAAAACAGGTTAAGGGATTCTCAGTATTCAACAAATCGAACCATACCCGAAAATCAGAGAAGGGCCGGGTCCAAGTAACTCGGAAACCGGTTGAAAAGCAGGCCACAAACTGTTAAAAAAAAATTGAGATAAAAAAAAATAAAAAAAATATATGAAATTATATTTAAAGCATGATTAAACAAAACACGTCCAAATGAAGTTGAAAAGTAGTAAAAAAATGGATTTTAAAAAAGTGATTTGCGCTTAGAAGTATTTTTGAAATTATCTAAGAAAATACACAAAAATGTCAAAAAAAAAGTATTTATGGCCAAAAACACTTTCCAATTTTTATCAAAATGATAAAATCAATCAAAAACACATTACAAACAAATCCCTTATTTTTTGGGATTTTATATATATCTTTGTTGAATTTTTTTAAAAGACCCGTTGGAACCACGAAAATCGGCCAAAACCGGATCAACTAGTGCCCAATTCTGGTTGACCGATACCTCCGAGTTGGACAGGCCGATTTTGTGAACATTGGACTGAGGTTTTTCTTGAAAGGTTCAACTTAGGATCCGCTTTCGGAGTGAGATAAACTATTTCCTTGTCATTGTTGTAGGACAATAATATTGAAGATTGAGGTTTAGCTCATGGCTCCTAAAAAGAAAATTCAACCAAATATGGTTCTTGAAGACTTGGAAAATTGGATTAGATGAGGGCTTTCTCATTTAAGTGCATAATGTTGACTTCAAAACTTTGCAGTTTTGAGGAGCTTTGGGCATAAGGATAAGGTTGTGGCCAAATTGCCTAAGAGGAGATGGAAAAAACCTATGTTTAAGAATTGTCAAATATGTATATAAAAAGGAAATTATCAGAAACATACTTTTGTTTTCGTCTAATTGGAAAAAAACCATCAACTTTCATAAACCTCATCCACATCTCTTTTTTTAGCATTTTTTTACCAAAATAGCTTTTACAGTAGTTGTATTATTGTGAAGCCCTAGCATTACGGCCTTTAAGCACGGTAATGACTACCCCATTTTATACGACATTTTTAAATGCCATGATAACTCGAAGTATTTTAAATGCCAAAACTGATGAAAAAAGATGTAGATGAGATTTATGAAAGTTGAGGGTTTTTTTTTTTCCTAATTTATAAAAAATTAAGGTATATTTCTGATAATTTCCCTATATAAAACACATATAGATAAAAGGGAGATGATTCTATGAACCAACCAGCCTATACTGTTGTATAGGCTGGATGGCAAAGATCAACGGAGAATAGACATAATGATTTGCCAAGAACGGTAGTCTCATTTTACCATAATTTTTTCTAGCAAATTCTTTTCTTTTCTTTTCTTTTTAACCTGAGAACCTACTTTTCACAATACCTAACTCTATCAAAGTGCGAATCTTGGCCATTCATCTCCTTTGCCTTCAATCTTGGCCATCTGGCCTATACTGTACTATATATACCGGTATCAAAGAAGGGAAAAGTGTATATAAGGTCGCAACCTTAAAATGTAGAATTAAAGTGCACAACAAAAATCCAATGGAAAAAGTTGTTTTGATATTGAAAAACCTTTAATTGATCATCTCGAGATTGAAATGTATGAATATGTGGAAAAATGAAGATTTTGAAGCTCAAAAATAGTGCACCTCGCAACACATTGTCTAGTTGGTCCATTGTCATGATTTTCATGTGTTTATAGATCTATTTGATTTTACCTATTTTTTGCATTTAATATTCATAATTAAAGACAAAAATGGATTATAAGGTCATCTTAAGAATTTTTTACACTAAAATATCTTATGATAAGGTTTGGACATGCACCTTTGTTCTTATGCAAACCATACCCATCGTATAATCATTTTCCTAATTAAAATGTGCCACCAAAAACTTGTGTTGCGGTTTGTCATCAAGGTTATTCAAAATAAGGACTGTACAATATGGGATTGTATAATTAAGCTAGAGTGGGTCATGTATAATTGAGCTGGCATGTTTTTTTTCTCATTTTTCAGGGTTTATCATGATACTTGGGTTGGTTCTCTACATTTGAGTGGGTGTTCACACTTGAAGATAATGTCACAAGACCTTATGCCATAAGCAAGAGACAAATCACAAAACAGGGTTGAACTGCTTCAGTAGTCCAACTACTTGGGCTGGGTTAAATTTTGATACAACAAGAAGACTATGGTTGGAGGACCCTCCAGTTTTGAGGAATGGAATTAACTATAACTTGGATGGACGGCTCAGATTGAGTGGACATGCTCCATTCATGTGTGTGGAGTGGATGATTTATATTGTATTGCCTGTTGGTTGGAGTTTTGGACAACTATGTGCTTAGGGGAAGAAAAAGTAAGAAATGTTGATGGGTCATGTCAATTTTGGAATCACAGGTTTGTGGGTGATCATAAAATTATGGAATTGTTATTATTATTATTATTATTTATTTGGACAAATAGTACTTCTCAATTTCAAGATTCAAAAAGGTATACCATTTCATACTTTTAATCTAACATTTCAAGAAAAGAGCTGACGCTTGATTGGTTTGCGCTTGACGATTTGCAGCATTACACCTTAACCTTAATTTGTACCAAAGGTAGGGCCCTCTCCCCACTTACTCACCAAGAAAAAAAAGGTTCAAAGAGAAATGTGGGGTATGCATACCAAGTTAAAAAAGCAATTAACTTTTTTTTCTTTCTTTCTATGGATTTTAGAGGTAGGATTTTATATTTTATGGGTAAGTAGGTAGGATTTAAAATTCGGATTGAATTCATTAATCCTTAATCAGGCCAGGACCCTGAGTCCAAGTGGTTATTTATAGGTTAAAGTTGGGAACACGGGGTATCTCGAGCTAAAAAGAAGTCTATTTGAGTGTAGAAGATAATGGAAGCAATACCAATACCGTAGAAATATCAATTAAAATAAAACATATAAGGATTAGATGGAGGTTACATATCTTTCTTGGAGTTGATATTCCTTTTTAAAGCTAATTGCGCCTTTTTTTGTGCGTTGAGAATTCGATGCAGCTCTTTTAAGTCTCTATCTTTTGATTACTAGAACCACAAAGATAATTTACAATAAATTTTGATGGATGGTTCGAGAGTTCTCATTTTTGTCAAAACAAAAAAGATATATTGTTAGGGTTTATTGAAAGAGACTTTTTAGATAGAGATGGAAAGCCCTAGAAAAGTTTTGTGGAACCAGGTCCTTTCTCTCTACAACGCCTTTTTATAAAAAAAGTCCACACTCCCATGATTCTTTCCCCAAATCTAGTTGGAAGTTATCCAATTAACAAAAAAAACAGTTATTCAAATCTTTTTGGATAAGATTTTAGTTAATAATCTCAATCTTTGCAAGTCCTCTTCTCTTTTATCCAAACTAACTCTAACTTACCGTAGACACACTTGGCCGGACCAAATTGAGCAACTCATCTAATCCCTCTTAGCTATTTAATGCTCAGGAGAGTACTCAAAACCTTCGTGCACACACACTTAAGCTCCTCCAAGAAATATATTATGCACACTTAAGATTCATTTACGAATAATAAAATATATGTTATACTATAATTTTCAAAAATATCCTGTAAAGGAATATCTTAGATAAAATTTATATCGTTGATATGCTAATGAACATCATGTTGTGTACCAATTTATATGAATGCTAAATGCCTTCCTCCGATCCTACTATTATTCTGTTTTGACTTACCACTTTCTTAATTATGCTCCCACGCTATTGAATCATATATGACCCTAGGGAGAAAATGTTAAAATAGTGACATCAAGACTCAACTTCATATTATAATCTCAGGGTCTCTAAGTGCACTTAATATCACAAGGTGACCGACTATTCTCGTAGGGTATAATATGGAACAAGGATCATCCCATACACCTCTCTATAAGGAGTAACGATTGTCTGTTAAACACATGTAGTATGCGTTACATGCTATGGTGTAAATAGTTCAAAATACAAACATCTACATCAAATCTACACCATGCAGGTCTTAGTTTATTGCATCTATGTTTCTTGTCGCGCCCAATGCGCCCAGGTTCACACCCAAGCGACTAGTTTGAACATCTCCGATGTTCCCAAGTAACCTACGTGATCTGGTGGCATGTCATGTGGATCACATCGGTTCTTATCCATGGAATCTCGTCTTGATCTTTCATAAGGGTGATACTCATACACCTCGTGTGGGTCTCATCCTCCTATGTCCTCGACATTTAGATCGATCAACGCTGCGAGCAGCAGATCAAGCCTGCCGAATCATATGCCCTAGTTTGCAAGTTGGAATATACATTCAAACTATCTGTATTCCAATAAACAAACTATAATACCATAAGTCAATTGATTATCATATCTTTATTGAAAGAGTTGGACAACATCTATGGTACATAAAATAAATTAGGGACTTCTAGGTCCCAATCGCCTGACACGAGCCCTATACCTCTCTCATGCTATATAGGCTCAACAATGGGGCTTGCTACCATTTTCTAGTAGAATTTTATGACATGATTATCTCATGCAGTTTAAAAATTGGATTGGTACCCCGGATCGAGCACCCAAAAAACCCATCCAAATCGGTGAATCGGTGTTTGGATCGGGAATCGCCCTAATCGATCGAAATAGGGGTACTACATTAATAACTTTCATTTTTTTTGCATCAATATGTGAATATTGAGATGTTCTTTCCCTATATGAACTATTGTTAACCATTAAATTTATATCACACAAAAGGATAAACATAGAATTATCAAAGATGAAGTATATAATCATATAAAGCATATAATTCGTAAAATACGACCTAATACCAAAATAAATGACTATGTTATTCTTCATCTTGGTCACGCTTGTGCCATTGATTGAATTCACGAGATAATTCATTGACTCGTTCTACGAACAAATCATCTAAATTAGTGGGCACCTGAGATTAATTCACAGTTTTAATCAACAAATTGTTTTAAAATTAATTAGTCAAATAACCCTAAAAATTTGCAATATGTATTTGCATTAAATAATTGACAATAAAATTGAACAATACAAGTTATTTTCATATGATAATTATAAATTGACAATCAATTAATATTATTCACAATGTTATGATATTAAAAATATTATGTAATGAAATTGAAATTGTTGTTTATATTCTATAATTATTATACTATACAAATATGAACAGATCTAAAATGTCTTATAATATCACCAAACTTAATTTATAATGTAAATAAATAAATAAATAAAATACAAGATTTTGTTATCAATATATAACTATTAATTTAGAATAGGTTTAAGTAATTTTTGGGATTTTTCAAGATTTTTTCAGACCTAAAACCGACTTAACAAACACATTCTCTAAAAGTTAAACCACTTTCGGGCCCCTCGGACTGCGCCTGTCACATTACACAACGCACAATGCCTCGCGCGGCCCGGCCCAGGCCTAAGGGTATTTTGGTAATTATGCCTTGAAACATTTTGAGGCTTCGAACTTTTGATCCATATGTCCAATTCAAGTGATTCTTAGACCAGTGGAAAGATCTCGGGGTCTACTACAATTAGGATAGGTTCTACGTGGTTTTTGGATAATTAAACTGACACTCTTTGGGGAGGCGATACGCCGATAGATACTTTTGATCCATCAGATATCAAACACGTATTGTACTATCTTTGAGGCAATTCCATTGAGAAGTCTCTAACAATCAGGATTAGAAGTACAGTCAGTAGGAATTGTGTTATCTTTGAGCCAATGACTTCTCTTTGCTAAGGTCACCCCAATGCAATCTAGGATGCAAGTGTAGTCATCTTCGGTCGTAGGCCTTTGCATTTGGGGTCTGGTATTTAATTGAATGGGAATCAGATTCAAGAAAAAATGGAGATGATGATGAATTCCTGGATTGTTGAAATTTTTCTCACCTTTGATTTTAAATTCTTGGTATCCACAGGTTCAGATAAGATTTTTCGGAACCTATGGGTTTGTTCTTTTCCTAAGGGTTTGTAACATGGCATCCAAGATCTGGTGGCAGTGGAAACATCATGTTCAAGCGTCCTTGAAACTCCTTCATTTTAAAAACATTTTAGAAGATTTTGAAAATCGGTAGGTTTTCAAAATAGATATAGACTTCAGGATACTATTTAACCAAATAAATTAAGATTTTTGAAAACTTCACAGAAACATATAGGGGAAGTTTTGAAGATGGATGAGAAATATCAAAAATGTTTTATGTTGGTTAACCTTTTATACTCGTACAACCATTGAGCCCTCTAAGTAGTTTTACGTCATGTAGCGATGGACGTATCTTATATCAGCCCTGACTCTTTTTCGCTATTAGGGTTTGACATTGAATTGAGATTAGGTACCTGGTCTTTTTGTCGTCATAGGGGTTAGACGTCTTCATGTCTCGACTTTTTTATGTCGCACGAGTTTGACGTTTCGAGATTTCTCGACTGTTTCATGTCATACGGGTTGAACGTATTTCGACTAGATTGGTGAGCCATTTAAGCTTCTGTCACCTTAGATTTTCATGACTCTGAAGATGATTGATGAAGAGTGTTTGATTCTTCTAGAATGTGTCGGAAAATTGTGGAAGACTGCTTCTAACTATTTCGGACATCATCAGGGCTGATTTCACTTTCTTTCGAGTGTTAGATTTTGATCTCTAATTTTTTTTATTTTACTAAAATTTTAGGGCTAATTTTCTACACGACACGTCATGTTGCGAGCTGCATGACCTGGGGCGTGTTGGGCAATCTAGCATGACATGTTGTGTGTTGTGCATGTATTCAATAACATAAGGGAAAGGTTTCTATGTTTTCCCTACAGCATAGAAGTTCTATCCTCCCCCTACCATCCAGCCATTCAATTTTGATCAAGAGAGCCACTCACCATTTGATCTTAGATCCGACGTCTCAAAGTATTTTATTTTTAGTTTTTTTTTATACAAATTGTATGAATATGAAATTTGGTAGTGCCATCTTCTCATTGGGGCACACCTATAAAAAATACTAAAAATAATTATTTGATAAAATATAATGACCAAAATACCCCTTAAAATTTTTAGGGGTATTTTTATCATTTTATTTTATTGAAAATATTGTTTTTATATTTTTGGCTAGTGAGAGTTTAATAGAGAAATGGACGTATATGCTGAAGAGAAAGCATAGAAAGCTTACCCATAACATAATGGTTTCAAATTTTTTGTCTTATTGAATTCTCTTTCAACTTGAACTAGGATTCCTTTGTATTAGGCCCTTTTCCATTTTCTTTCGACTTGAACTAGGATTCCTTCGTATTCGGCCCTATTGAATTCTCTTTCGACTTGAACTAGGATTAATAGATATGGAAGAATTGGTAAATGCTTATGTACAAGTATATTCATGTTTCAAT